ACATTGTTCTGAATTCTAAATAGTTTTGTAATTGGCTAATTATAAATCAATGATGAACCTGGAATGGTTTAAGCCGCACACACTCCGAGTACCGGAAACCGTAGCTAAGAGGTCATAAAAACGTCAAATTGCCACCTAAACTTCCCCTCAACTACGTGAAGAATCCAGGCAGAATCCAGAATACACAGACTTTGATATTTACACCGATCAGCAGTAACACTGTGAGCCACTGGACTCCCTGACTGGTCGCCAGACCAACAAGACTGCTCTGGCACCTGTGTGTTTCCTGACCCACAGAAAGAGCCCTGATACCCAGATAATCAGTGTTATTCACTGTCAGTGCTCACTGTGTTAGGGCTGATCATTGGATATTGATGTATGATCATATGAGGAGAAGTTAAACAAATGAAGGAGCAGCACAAAGAGATAAACATGTTCTGTCACCTGCAGGATTCTTGTTCCAGCAGGTTCAGTTCAACCCAAAGTTCCACTTAAGAGGACCAACGGTTTTCTTCTTTCCCAGAAGTGATTCCTTTATACAGCTGCTGTGTGTGCGTGTGTGTGTGCGTGTGTGTGTGTGTGTGTGTGTTTTGGGTGTGAAGCATCAATGTGTCACCTGGAGCTGCAGAAGTCTTCTGATTTATGAACAACTGGAGCATGTGAATATTCAGGCTGTTTAAACACGTTCCAGCAGCACACATATTACCTAACTACTCCCACCGTACTAATATTACATTAAATATTAAATAAATAACAGGAAAAATGGATGCAAAGTCCAGTAAATCTACTTTCTTTCTGCATACATTTTTTATTTTCATTCACTGTTGACATTTTTGAGGATTCATTTTTTATTGAATTTGAATAAAATTGAATAAAAGGAAAGAGCACATAAGGTTGCAGGTTGCTTATCTTCCACACACACAAACACACTGCTGCACTCATGCTACATGCTAACCTTTTCCAGCTGATTAAAGATGAAAGAAAACCATAATAACTATAAATTTCTTCTTTAATATCTTTTTAATAATCAGACAGGAAGTGAAAGACTGAATCAAAGTTCTCTCTCCTGCCTGAACATCCCGCTCACTGACCCGCAGCACAGCGAGGTTACAACTTCTCTGTGACCCAGATGTCAGGCTCTGACTCTGCCACCCTGGGATCCTCCGTAATAAAACCTGGTTGCTGACCCAGTTTAAGTCCCGACACAAAAGGAGCAAAAGTCTCCTACTGGGACAAACACTTCTCGTTCTTTTTCTACCGAACAAAGCAGGGCCGACAGATTCTTGGACGTCGCTTTGGCTCAGACTGAAATATCTGTGAAACGGACTGCAGTGAAATATTAACAAACATTTAGGGTCCCCAGAAGGATGAATCTGACTAAGTTCACTGATCCTCTGACTTTTAGAGGTCGACAGTGAAATCTCTCAACAACATTGGGATGGATTGGCTCAGACAGCAGAGGATACATTGTGTCTGACTTTCTCTGTTGCACCACCAGCAACATTTGTACTTATTCAGTGAAATGCTGCTTTTGTGGATAATCTTACTCTAACGCAGACATTCACAGCTCCCAGACGACTATCCCTCCAGTGCCAATATGAGGCTCACACTTTTGGTTTAGAGTGAAATATGTTGACAACTATTGGATGGATTGCCATAAGATTTGGTTCAGACATTCCTATTCCCCGCAGGATGAACTGAAATAACTTTGGTGATCTTCTGACTTTGATTTCTTTTCAATTGATGACTAAAAACCTGCAGAACTACTGACATTCCCAGCAGCCTCTTGTTGTTGTGGTTCATAAAACACATGCACTGCAACGTTAACTGTGCATGCAACAAACATCTTCTTTTAATAGGCTGATGGGTGAGAAGGGGAATTTTCAAGTAAATAAATTCTACTTTCTTTGAACTGTTACTGACGGCTGTGGCCACGTTAATGTTACACTCAAAGGAAAACTGTAGTCAATTCACTGGAGAGTTCACGGCAAAAGAATCTGCGAATTAACCTGGATTTCTTGTAAACGCTGACCACCTACCAATTTTGAGCAAGTGCTGTCTTCTTTGTCAAGAAAAACTTGGAAAATGGTTTCTTCCAGCACAGCGCGACCGCCGCCTCAGGAAGAGAGTTTAAAGTAACCGTTGTTGATCTAAAATGAAGAAAAACTTCAGCTGTATGAATTATTTCTCATTTAAAATGTTTGCAAAAAAACATTTCAGTGAACACATTTGTTTAAGTTTCCAAACGAGCAGCCGTGTTGGTCCGGTTTGAAATTTGGGGGCAGAAAGCTTTCGTCCCAATCAGGTGTAGCCAGGAAGTGTTTGCATGGCTGTAGGAGGGTGGAGCCCCTGTGGACACGTATCTTTGTATTTTGTTGCCAACGAAAGAACAATCTTTTATTTGTTGCACCAGTTATTCTTAAAATGTTTCAGTTAGTTCTGTGCTTTCATTGAAACTGCAGATCTCTTTTGGGTTCCGGCTCGTCGTTGAGGAGGACAACAGAGCCTGCGCGCACACCACACACACACACAACACACACACCACACACACACACAAACACCACCACACAGGACTGTATTCAAAAGACTTTCTGTACAGCCACATGTTCTCTATGGAAGACGTTGTTTTTCATGCAATAGTTATGTAGGTGTGTGGGCTGTGCACGCTGCTCAGTGTGTGGTCAGATTGTGGCATCAGCGGATTTTAGTATACAATCCCAACGAGCGATTATTACTGTTATTGCAACTAAATATATGATCCTGCTGAAAGACTCTGATATTAACATCAAACAGACTGTTTAACCTTAAGTCACTGTGTGTGTGTGGTGTGTGCACGCTGGGTTATATAGATTAGCTTGTACTTGGATTGTTTGTGTGCACACATATTCTGATGGGATTAAACCTGATCTGTGCCTGAGGCGGGTCCAGCAGCAGGAAGGACTCGCAGATCCAAACTCATTATTCTAATTTAATGTCACAGATACAGTCTGGAGACACACACACACACACACACACACACGCACACAACACACACGCACACCACACACACAGAAAACACACACACACACACACACAAGCAGAGGAATGAGGCTGGGAATGACACTGTCACTTTTGGAAAACTGTTCTTTTGAAGTGGATTCAATAGGCCGAGTTAACCCACCTAAATATCCTCGTTTACACCAGTCTCCCTACAAACACAACAGAACCACAA